CTTCCTTCCTTCCTTCCTTCCTTCCTTCCTTCCTTCCTTCCTTGCATTATCTATCTCCTCCATTAACTGGCATGAGAGCTCTCCGGAAGCTATGGCAGGGTTTGTTCACAGCTGTGTTCTCAACATGTAGTAACGTGCCTGACACACAGATGGTGCTCACTGGCATTTGTAGGATGAATGGAGGGTGGTTCAAAGTGCGATCTCTGAAGTATGACATACCCACGTGCGAGTCTCAGCTGTGCCTCACGCTGGCAGTGTACTTTTGGGCCACTTTTCAAACCCATTCTAAGCCTTAGGACAGAGGTTAGTACCTCCCTGGTAGGGTCGACCTGGGGAGGAACTGAGAAGGACACGCCTGGCACACGGCGAGTACTCGGTAAGGGGCGGCCTTGCCTGCTTCTAAGCCCCCAAGTTCAGGCAGAGCGAGACCTTGGCTCATGTAACTGCAGACGATGAAATCAGAGGAAAATAAGGGTCTGTGTTCTTGACTGGTGAGTCCCCCACCCTCACCCCGACCCCAGCCGCGCTGGGCGTGACCTTCCAACCTCCAGCTCACTGCCTCACACGCTCGTTCCGTAAACCTTCTCTGGAGTGCCTGCTCATGTGCCTGGTACTGTGGCGGAGCACAAGGTGAGGGAGCCGCAGGCCCTGCCATCGGGGACGCACAGCCCATTGGCAGAAGCACCTGGAAACAGCCATTTGATAAGGACTGAGCCCGGAGAGCCCCAAGGCGGGGCCAGGGACCCCTGCCAGCCCTCCCCCCCCACTCCTTCCCTGTGGCCAGGTCCCTCCAGCCCCCACTGGTCACTTGACCTGGGATCCTGCCATTACTTCTGGGCTGGACAAGCTGTCCCGGGGTGGCTGACCCTCAGTTCCTGGTGGCTCCTCAGAGCTGAAAGGGAGGCTGGGTTCCAGGAAAGGGCTTGAACCTGCCGACCCTGGCTCCTCGTTCAGGCCACTTTGCCCTCTGGCACAGGTTCCACCTTAACTCCTTCTGTCCTGTGCCAGGGCCTGTGGAAGAACAGAGCGGGTGGGCGTCTGTGATGGTGAGAGAGGGGTGACTGGGCACAGACATGAGGAGGCAGAGCTCCCCACGGGAGCTGCCGACTTGCACGGTGGGCAGAACAGGAGGCAGGGAAGTTGGCAGCCCTGTGTCTGCCCTGCTGCTGCCCAGCCGTGTGAACCTGTGCTGGTTCCTTTCCCACCCTGGGCCTCAGTTTCCTCCTGTGTGCATCCACCCCCGTAGGGCTTTCCTGCGGTGATGGCCCGTGGTCATTGGTCCTGGCTGATAGCGTGGGAGGCACAGGGCGATCAGCACACAGATCCTACTTAGGACAGGGCCCTCGCTGTGGGGCGAGGATTTGCCTCCTGCCTCCTAGGGTGTGGGTCTATGGGGGAAAAGACTATACTGCCTCCCCCCCCCCAAGTGCTCCAAACTGAATGGCAGCTGCAGTGCCTTGGACTCCTGTGGGGCTGTGCTTGCTACCACTTTGACATCTTCCAGCCTAGCTCCTTTAATCTTGCCCAGAACATCTTCAGACAAATCCGCCTTGAAAGGCAGAGAGGGTAGGCACTAGGAGAGAAGGGCTAGGGTAAGGGAGGGGACAGCAGTCAGCTGGGATGTTCACAACCGCTTGTCCCCACCCTCCCAGGTGAGTTTCCAGCGGCCACACCCAGGAGGCTCTCAGGTCTCTCTGGGCCTGCTGTGCTGACCACTTCCTGTCCCTGCTGGAAGCTGTCAGCCTTGGAAACTGCAGAGCCCCCCATGGGAAGACGGCTTAGCTCTCTCTGGCTCTTTGTCTGCTATCATCTGTGATTCTCTCTACGAACCCCTAGACTTTCCGCCACTCCTCCAACCCCACTTGTGCGTGAACAAATTCCTCTGCCCCTACTTGTCATCTGAGATGTGTTGAAAGCAGCACCGTCCAATAGAATTTCCCGAGATGGTGGAAATGTTCTGTATCTGCGATGTCTGGTATGGTAACCAGTAGCCACACATAGCCTTGACACGAGGCTCCTGCGAGTGAGGAACTGAACTGTAACTTTATTACATTTTAATTCACTTAATAGCTACACGTGGCTGCTATGTTGCATAGCGAAGGTTGGGCAATAAGAAAACGGGAAGGAAACACACAAAAACTACGATAGTTCGGGAGACGTTTGCAGAGCACTTATTTTGGATCCTAACTTCAAGAATGACTTGTCCTTGTCATAAAAGCTTTGCTTAGCTTAGGAATATTTGGTCCTGCAGCTTTTTCCTTTTTTTTTTTTTATTGCCTTTCCTTTCTCCCTTCCTCCTCTCCCACCCTTCTTCCCTCCCGTTATGTTGAAGAAATGAATATATAGGGAGCATCTAGCTCTCACAGCTTAAAGCTCACAGAAGGCCCAATGCAATGGGGAAGGATTGAGGGTTTTTGAAAAGGGCTGAAATTTTTTGTTTTGTTTCATATTTTGATGGACTCTAGTTGCATAGAATTCGATTAAATCCTAATCCTTAGCTCATGAGATAGTCCTCATTGGTCCATGCATGGCCTGTTTTACTTTATTCATACAAATGTATTTATATGTTTTATTAATAACAATGTTATGAATTCCTAAGGAAACCCACTACCCCACCATATGTGAGACCTTCTCAAACTACCTCCTTCCCTGTACTCAGTATTAGCACTCTGGAGTTTTGCCAGGTGAATGGGTGTAAAATATTATTTGATGTGGTCTTAATTTGTATTTCCCCGTTCAGGAATGAGGCCAAACATCTCTTCACATGCTTACTCACCATATATATTAATATTTCTTTTTCTGTGAAGTACAGGATCATGTATGTCTTTTGCCCATTTTTTATTTGGTCATGTGTCCCTTTATCTTGGTTTGGTGAAAGTTCTTTATACTTGGATATGTTGCTAACCCCTTCTTCCATGCCACATTGTGTATAACACTTCTTTCAAGCAACAGCAGTTCTTACATTTATTTATATATGTTGCAAACATCTTCTCCCAGTTTGAAAAATCATGCCACATTTTGTGTAACAATTCCTTTAAGCAATAACAGTTCTTAAATGTATCAGTTTTGTCTTTTATGGTTCCTGCTTTCTGTATCTTGTTAATGAAACACCTCACCAAAGGCCAGACCTATTATTACCTGTGTTTCCACTAAAAGATTGAACATTTTGCTTTTGGCGTGTAAGTCCGTAGTTCATTTGTGGATGATTTGCAGGAATCCAATTTCCTTTTTTTCCTTATGATAGCCCTTTCCTCTAGTTTTTTTTTATTGAGTAGTCTCCACTTCCTCTCTAAATCTGCCATGTGGGCATTGTTCTGTTTGGGGTTCTATTCTGTTCTGTCAGTTTGTTTATCTGTCTCTATGCCAACATCCTATAGTCTTAATCACTGTAGCTTTGTAATACATCTATTACCTGGTAGGGCCAGTTTTTTTTGTTTTTTTTTCAGCAGTGCTTTAACTGTACTGAGCTTTGCCCATGTGAATTTTAGGATCAGCTTACCAAGTTCTTTGGAAAATTCTGTTAGGATTGTTTTTCTGTTTTTCTTGTTTTAAAATACACATCACATAAAATTTACCATCTTAGCCATTTTTAAGCATACGGTTCAGTAGTGTTAAATACATTCACATTGTTGTACAGCCATAACCACCATCCATATTCATAACTCTTTTCATCTTGTAAGTCTGAAACTCTATACCTATTAAACACTAACTCCCCAATCTCCCCTCTTCCTCCAGGCCCTGGCAACCACCATTCTACTTTCTGTCTTTATGATTTTTGGCTACTTTAAGAACCTCATATAAATGGAATCATACAGCATTTGTCTTTTGTGAGTGGCTCATTTCACTTAGCATAATGTCCTCAAAGTTCATCCATGTGATAGCGTATTGCAGAATTCTCCTCCATTTTAAGTCTGAATAATAGTGCATTGTATGAATATACGATGTTTTGAAAAGAATGTCCTTTTCCCCATTGAATGGTCTTGGCAGCCTCCTTAAATATCATTTGACTGTATATGTGAGGGTTAATTTCTGGGCTCTGTATTCCATTCCATTGGTCTATATCAGGGGTCGGCAAACTGCGGCTCGCGAGCCACACGCAGCTCTTTGGGTACGTTCTGTCTCAAAAGTTTGCTGACCCCTGGAAGAACCAATCCTGTCGCTCACAACAATTTAAAAGTTATTCGAGAACCATAAATATATTTTTACATAATCACCATTATGTGAATAACATCCTTCAAAATTTTTATAAATGAAACTATGATAGTTTTGTTTTTATTTTCAATTTTACTTCAGAGCCACATGTACGTACTGAAAGAACCACATGTGGCTCACAAGCTGCAGTTTGCCGACCCCTGGCGGCTCTTCCGTTTCAAAAGTTTGCCGACCCCTGATCTAGACGAAGCATAAGTTAGCCAGTTTTCTATTGTTGGCTGTCAGAGTAGATAAATTTTGTTCACATCCATGATTATTTCCTTAGGTTTCAATTCTTAGAAGTGAAATTTGAGATCAAAGGCTTTATAAAGTATTATACATAACTTCTCTCCAGAAAGGTTATATAACTTGAGTCTTAGACCGTGAGCATGCGCACTTCTGCACACCCCTACCTAACTGGGGGTTAAAAATGTGACCTTCTGCTGCCTTTTTCTCAATCCAGCTTTATTTGAGCACTTCACTCCAGAACACTTGCAAACCAAGTTATCCACAATCCAAGGTTTTACTGTATATGCAACAGATTTTTGTATATTGAATTCGTGTCCTGCAACTTCACTGAATTTGTTTATTAGCTTTAACAGTTTTTAGGTGGGGTCTTTAGGGCTTTCTCTGCCTTATGTTATGTCATCTGCAAATCGTGGCAGTTTTATTTCTTCCTTTCTGATGTAGATGCCTTTTATTTATTTTTCTTGCCTAATTGCTCTGGTTGACTTGTAATACTGTGTTGAATAAAAATGGTGAGAGTGGGCATCCTTGTCTTGTTCCCAAGCTCAGAGGAAAAGCTTTGAGCTTTTCACCATTGAGTGTGAAGTTAGTAGTGGGCTTGTCATATAGGCCTTTATGTAGAGGTCCACAGAGAGTCCCTTTTCCATCCATCTTATTGGGCCTTAGAATTTCTCCTTCCATCCCTTCTCCTGGCCCCACCAAGAATAAGGAGGCTGACTCCCCCTTCTGTTCTCTCTACAGCCCAGCTCCACCAACTGGAGGGGCTGAGGACCATCGGCATCACCACCAACGGCATCAACCTAGCCCGGCTGCTGCCTCGGCTTCAGAAAGCTGGTCTCAATGCCATCAACATCAGCCTCGACACGCTGGTACCAGCCAAGTTTGAGTTCATCGTCCGCAGGAAAGGTGATCACGTGCAGCTCACAGTGAAGACTCTCTCTCTCTCTCTCTCTCTCTCTCTCTCTCTCTCTCTCTCTCTCTCTCGGCTATAGATAAGCCTAGGCATTTACTCTTCACCCCTCCCTAAATGTCCCTTGTCTTTGTAGCCACATCGCTGGGGATCTTGGGGTAGCAGATGCTAAGAGCTGCATTGTCCAACCTACCTGTACCTTGCCCTCAGCTTTCCCAGGACTAAGAGGATTTTCAGAACACAGGACTTTCAGTTGTAAAACCAAGATTATCCCTGGAAAACGGGAATGAGTTGATTACCCTATAATGAGCTCTGAAGAAATGTGGGGTCACCCAGGGTAGAAGCAGCTGCCCTGAGGTGCCAGGGTCAGGGATAGCACTGCCAGGTAGGGGGCCCCCATCAGCCCCCAGGGGTGCTTCCTGTGCCCATCCTGGACGGAAGCCTGTCCCCTCATCCTCTGTAGCAAGCATACCCACAGCCTCCTCCCACTGGGCTTCGTCGTGGAGGGCCGGGCTTGAGAGGTAGAGCGGCCAGAGCCCCAGGTCTCATTAGGTCACTGTCCCCTGAAGTCTCTTGGGTCATGGGCCTCCTTTTGGGGCAGAGGTTCTTGCCTCACAGTGTGAATCCCCATTTTCACCCATCTGTGTGCTGAGGAAGTGCTGGCGGAGCCCTTGCCCTCTGTGAAGAGCTGCTCCACGCGCTGTGGGAGAGGACAGAGATACTCAAGACATTGCCCTGTGTTACAGGTTCCTAAGGGCCAAACAGTGTGATGCCCCTAGACCACCTTTGCTTGTCTAGTGGCGTCGATTAAAGCACTACAGAGAGGGAGCGAGAACTCCTAGCAGGGGAAGACAAACAAGGAGGGCTTCCGGGAGGAGGCGTATACCCTGGGTCTTGAGGAAGTAGGTTGGGGAGATTCAGATCCAGGGAGCGTCATCAGAGGGGGAATGTCAGCTGAGAACCTGCAAGGGCCCTGAGGGGGGAAACTAAAAGTGTGTTTGTGGTCGTTACCCCCGACACACACACACACACACACACACACACACACACACACACACACACACACACACA